GGATACTATATATATATAATATGTTTATATATATAATATATGTTTATATATGTTTATATATATTGTATCATTATATATATATAATATCATATGTTTATATATTATATATATATATAAAGGGATTAAGCATTAATTTATATGATCACAAAATCCCCAATATAGGCTGTCTGCAAGCTGAAGAGCAAGGAGAGCCAGTGCAAGTCCCAAAACTGAAGAACTCGGAGTCTAATGTTCAAGGACAGGAAGCGTCCAGCATGGGAGAGGAGAAAGATGTAGGCAGGGAGGCTGGGCAAATCTCTCTTTTCACATTTTTCTGCCTGCGTTATATTCGCTGGCAGCTGATTAGATTGTGCCCACCAGGTTAAGGGTGGGTCTGCCTTCCCCAGCCCACTTACTCAAATTTAATCTCCTTTGGAAACACCCTCACAGACACACCCAGGATCAATACTTTGTATTCTTTAGTCCAATCAAGTTGACAATCAGTATTAACCATCACAAGTCCACCCCTTGTCAACTTGAACCCATACACATCTCCTGAGATCATCATCTTCAAATAAAGATAATAATAAGATCATAATTATGCCCAACACAATACAACTATCCTTCATACAAATGGAAACGTACCAATCCCCAACCCAAATACTATTACATAAAATTAGCAATACTTAAATGCCTATATGAAGTATGTCACTTGATAAAGGAAAAGGAAATAAAGATATTTTCTTAGTACAAGTGTATACATGTGCACGTTTTTAACAAAAGAAGGAGGAACTACTCATGACAGTTACAGTCCTTGGCTCTGCAGTTGGTCACGTGGTCATAGCTGGTATTGATGACTACCTTCTTCTACTACCCATTCTGTATTCCCTTTGCCTTCAGCAAGTATTTCAGCAGGTCGTGGTTTTTTTCTTGGTGGAGTGACCCAAACCTTCATTCCTGGCGGGTCTGGGCCATTTGTAGTCCTGCCCGGATTGGACTGTTGTAGTTTCCCATTGACCTTAATCACAGGACATGGTAATACTAAGAGACACCCTAATGGATCTCCTGTATTTCACGCATATTCTTCTTTACCTCCATTGTGGAGTAATAGACTGATTTCAACTGTATAGTATGGGTCAATCACCCCAGCCAACACTGTAAGTCCCTTCTTAGCCTGTTAACTTAAAGGTGGGGGAGGCCAAAGTGTCCAGGTGGCAATCTTACCTTCCAGTTCAATGGAATCATTGTTGTGCCTCCTGGTGGCAGTGTTCCTCCCGCTGGAACTAGGGCCTCTAGGCCAGCAGAATGTAATTTTCTGGGAACAGGAAGCAAAAATTTTGCTAGTGGATCATTAGGGGTGATGGTGAGTGGTGCCGCTTCCACTTCCACCCCTCGATTCCTGGACCCATGAATCCTGGCTGTGGGAGAGACAGTACCATATATTGGATGCTGATTCAGAGCATACAGGGCCTTCTGGAGAACTTTGCCCCAGAGTTGCAAAGTATTGTCACCTAGTTGGCATTGTAATTGTGACTTCAAAAGGCCATTCCACCATTCTGTCAATCTATCTACTGCAGGATGATGGAGAACATGGTAAGGCCGGTGAATTCCATGAGCATGAGCTCATTGCTGCACTTCTTTAGCCATAAAGTGAGTGCGTTGGTTAGAGGCAATGCTGTATGGAATACCATGACAGTGGAAAAGGCATTTCATGAGACCACAGATGGTATTCTTGGCAGAAGCATTGCATGCAGAATAGGCAGACCCATATCTGGAGTAAGTGTCTATTCCAGTGAGGATAAACCTTTACCCTTTCCATGATGAAAGAGGTCCAATATAATCAACCTCCCACCAGGTTGGCTGATCACCCTGAGGAATGGTGCCATATTGAGGGCTCAGTGTTGCTCTCTGCTGCTGGCAAGTTGGGCACTTAGCAGTGGCTGTAGCCAGGTCAGCCTTGGTGACGGAAGCCCACGTTCCTGAGCCCATGTGTAACCGCCACCCATGCCAACACGGCCATTTTGTTTATGGGCCCATTGGGCGATGATGGGTGGCTGGAGAAAGAGGCTGAGTGGTGTCCATAGAATGGGTTGTCCTATCCTATCTTTATTATTTTTTTAATAATAAACTTATTAAAATCCTCCTCTGCTGAAGTAACCCACTGGTGAATACTCACATGGAGTACAAATATCTTCACGGTTTTTGATTACTCAGAGAGGTCCATCCACATACCTCTTCCCCAGATTTCTTTGTCACCAGTTTTCCAATCATGCTTATTCCAGGTCCGTAACCATCCTGCCAAAAACCATTGGCTACAGCCCATGAATCAGTATATAATCATACATCTGGCAATTTCTCCTTTCATGTAAAATGCACGACCAGGTGCATTGCTTGAAGTTCTGCCAACTGGGAAGATTTCTCTTCTCCACTGTCTTTCAGGGATGTCCTAGAAAGGGGCTGTAGTGCTACCGCTGTCCACTTTCAGATGGTGCCTGCATATGCTGCACAACCATTTGTGAACCAGGCCCTAGTCTTCTCTTCCTCTGTCAACTGATCATAGGGAACTCTCCATGAGGACATCGGTGCAGGCTGGGGGAGAGAAGGCGGGGTGGCAGGAGTGGAGTCCATGGACATTTGAGCCACTTCCTCATGTAACTTACTTGTGCCTGCAGGACCTGCTCGAGCCCAGTCACGTATATACCACTTTCATTCGATGATAGAATGCTTCTGTGCATGACCCACTTCGTGGCTACATGGGTCAGAAAGCTCCCAGTTCTTGATAGTCAGCTCAGGTTGCATGGTGACTAGATGACCCATAGTCAAATCTTCAGTTTCCACCAAAGTCTGGTAATGGGCCAAGAGCTGTCTCTCAAAAGGAGGGTAGTTATCTGCAGAAGGTGGCAGGGCCTTACTCCAAAATCCTAGAAGCCTCTGCTGTGATTCACCTATGGGGGCCTGGCAAAGGCTCCAAACAGCATCCGTCTGCCACTGACACCTCAAGCACCATTGGACCTGCAGGATTATATGGCCGAAATGGCAGGGCAGCTTGCACAGCAGCCTGAACCTGTTGCAGAGCCGTCTCTTCTGGACCCCATGCAGTTTTATCCTGTAAAATGAATTATTCGAGGTCTTGGGGCCGAAATGATCTCAACCTATGCTCAAACATTAAATGGGTTAGAAGCCTGGCACACTGGCATAGAGCCGGGAGTGGAATGTGAGTGACTAGTGGGCCACTTTTTGTAAGCAGAACTGGTACTGCGAGATGAACAGGACGCCGGGTTAAGGAACCCAGTGCTGACACTCAGCAGACACCCCATTCTCAGTACCAAAATCTGTATTAGTCAGAGTTCTCTAGAGGGACAGAACTAATTATATACATATATGGGAGTTTATCAAGTATTAACTTATATAATGATAAGGTCCCACAATAGGCTGTCTGCAAGCTGAGGATCAGGGAGAGCCTGTCTGAGTCCCAAAACTGAAGTACTTGGAGTTCAATGTTTGAGGGCAGAAAGCATTCAGTATGGGAGAAAGATGTAGGCTGGGAGGCTAGGCCAGTATCTTTTTCACATTTTCCTGCCTGCTTTATATTCACTGGCAGCTGATTATATTGTGCCCACCAGATTAAGGGTGGATCTGCCTTCCCAGGCGCACTGACTCAAATGTTAATCTTTTTTGGCAACACCCTCACAGGCACACCTGGGATCAATAGTTTGTATCCGTCAATCCAATCAAGTTGACACTCAGTATTAACCATGACAGCATCTGATTGTTTCTTTAGATTGTAATACTCTTTTTTATTTAAATTATATTTTTAGAAATTTTTGATGTCACTAGACATTTCTTGAAATGTGACTTCAATGATTATATCTATGCCTTCAATGATTATGTTCATCTATGATAAACAACTTTATAAATCTAATTTTTTAATAATCTTTTTCTCTTTTGGAATTAGAATTTGAACACTAGAAATGTATCATTGCAATTTTAATTTGCATTTCATTTTCTTGCGAATTTGAACACTGTTCTATGATGATTGAACATATTTCTATAGAGTATGTGCCTTTCTATTTGAATTGCAAGAGCTCTTTATATGTTAAGAACATCAGCCCATTGTTTTTGATATTTGCACAGCTATATCTAGATTTTTCTGTGCCTTTTAATTTTCATTATTGTGTGTGTGCATGTATGTATTTTAAAAGAGAGAACAAGAGAGATGATTCAGGGTTACTAGTGGGTTTTTGGTGTGTCTTCTATTGCTACTATTATAAAATCCTTATTTAAGTTAAAAAAAGCTTAACTTTAATCCTTAATAAAGTTAAAAAAAAGCTCTAAGAAAAATAGACATATATTTTAGAGCCTTGTTTAACTTTTTTTCTTAGAGCTTTTTTTTTTTTTAACTTTAATTCACTTGAAAATATTTGCATGTGTGGTGTGGAGTAAAGATATTTTTTTAATAGTTAACCAGTTGTCTCATCATCGTTTACTGACTAATTATCTTTCCCATGTTTATTTGTAATACCTTCTTTAACATATTATCTTTTTAAGGTTGGTCATTTTCTTTATAATATATTTTTTAAAAGTGAAGAATGATTGTTATTCAGAAGAATAATCGCCTGATAATTCAAATTTTCCTGTAAGAGAACATCGTCATATTAAAATGCACACTCATTTTTTTCAGATGATTTTATGTACTTTTGAAAGTAAATGGTTAATTCAGACTCTTAATTCTTAATCTGTCAATTGCTTGATGACATACCTCCCTCAGCAAAATAGTGTATTAACTGTTTATTGCAGACTATGGATATTTTGGTTTATTTCCAGAATTCCTGAGTAGCGGTTCACATATCCCACCTTTACCATGACCCTATTTTCAAGATTATTAATTGCATCGATTTTCTTCTTGAAGAATGCTCCTACAAATTACTAATTACCATGCTATGTCTTAATATGTTTTTATAATTTTACAAATGAATATAAAGATAACTTTTTTCCCCTTTGTTTCCATCTTTTTGTTTTAGATAATCATTTTTACTTGAAGGAAGCTGCTTCTACTTGGGAGTGGCAGGAGAGGTGAGAAAACCACATGGAAGACCCCCAGGATTTAAATGAGCAATCAGTAAGTCTTCATTCTCAGTTTGTTGAAAAAAGTTACGATAACACTACTGAAAATCGTACTTAAAAGGGATATATTGTAAGAAGTAAGTTTTCCATTAAATATATTTTTAGATGATTTTTGAATTTTCTTTTAAAGACCATGAAACAGACCTTTGGAGATTTATGCTGTTTCTGCTTAATGATGATGTCACATTTTGATGTCTTCCTTGATTTCCTACTTGGAAAGCCAGTGGTGGAAAGTCTAGGGCATTGAAATCATGATGCATGTTTTAGATAGTCTAAACAATTTTATACACTTCCTTCATTTTATTTCAGATAAGCTGGATATTGTAGAATGTCAGAAGTGTAAAAGGAGAAAGTATATTATTAGCATCATTGTTGCTCATTTTAAGGAGGAAAGAAACCATAGTTCTCAAGGGCTTTTATTGTTTTACTAGATTCATTGTAGGACCAAGAATATACCAGATTGGTGGCAATCCTTTTAAGGTTCTGATTTCCCAAAGGGAAAGGCTCTATGTAGCCTTTCCTCCTAGCTTGTTAGTGGTGTCTCTGTGACAGTAGCTCTTTAGTGTGTGGAACTAGAGGCAATGAGAGGGCTTCCCTCACACCCTGACACTTTCACACTACTGAAGTTGTCCTTTGAGCTGTTTTGCATACAGACAACTAGAGATGTCACAAGTAACAAGGTGTGTACTTATTGAGAGTGTGTTCTTCAGACTGATGAGATTCTTTTTTTTTTTTTTTTTTGTTTTTGATGCTGTTCTTTATTAGCTTGTGTGATCATGACTTGATCTTAGAGTCAAATGTTTCTCCATTGATACTTATACATGATAATGTGGTTTTAGAAAAGGTATAAGTGATGAGTTTAACTTTGAGAGGGGTGTATGTTCTGGTGCCATTTGATGTTAATTTGATTTGCTTTCTAGTGGTTATTTTATTTAAAAGAAATGATAGCCCTGCTTTTAATTTGGATAGACATGACAATAGTCTAATTTCATTATATATTATACTAGTATTTATTTCACATGGCATCATCACAGGAAAAATGTAACAAAAAATTACAAAGTGAAAAAACTATGAAATCTGTCAAATGGTAGTCTAGAATTGTGTGACTTCTTTAGTAAGGTAAACAGAAATGGCCATTGGAAGGCAAGGGCTTTAAAACTTTTAAAAATACTGGCTATTGATTGTAAATATTCACACATGAACCCTAGCAAAATAGATGTTAGTCATCATGACTGCTGGAATCAGGTCTGTCTGTGTGACTGTGGTGGGCTTGAATAGTTAGTAGTGAATGTTGACAACATCTTAGTGGTGATGTTCCATTAGAGTGCTGTTGATCTGAATTTTGTTCTAATACACTGAGGGTCACATACAAGTGTGCGTGTATATGCACATGTGTGTATGTATGTATGTATACGTGTTTGTGTATGTGTATGTTAGAGTCTCTCTCTGTTTCCAGAGACTGAGGGGTTTCTAGGGACATAGAACTTTCAATGCTAAAGCAGGCAAAGTTTGGGCAAACCAGAATGGTTGATTCCATTAATTACTCTAGGGACTATGTATACTCAAGAAAGAATTTTGTTTTCAGTGCAGTTGAGAATATATTTTTATGTTTAACACTAAAGTGAGGTGTTACTCAAGATGCTTCACGTCACCATTCTCAAAATGAAGCACAGAGCTTGTAAATCAGATATGGTGTCCTTCTAGTGATATTTTAAGGTCATGAAGCTCATATTTCTTTTTAAAGTATGTTTTTAAAAGTTCCCAATGATGCTAATGAGCAGTCAGGTTTCAGAATGAGAAATCTAGGATGACCTGCCTACTCTCTCAGCTTGAACCTATTTGCTGAATTTAAATTTCAAACATGTAGACCAACATATTCATCTCATAAACATGCAAAGAAATGCTTAGAACTGTTACATGACTTGCCCATGTTGGCATGGCTGGTAAGTGGCAGAGTTGGGACTTCACACAGGTCTTCTGACTCCAAGTCCAAAGCTCTCTCCATAACATCAACATGCCTCATTGCTTTTGGGTTATGCCTATTGTGGCATCTATAGAAATGTGAAAAAAAGAGAATCAGCTCCTTTATTTGTAAATGATTTATCTTTGAATAAAATCTTTAAATTACTCTAAATTTTGTGGAATATATTAATTTCTCAAAATATTTTGAAAAATGATAGCATTTATTAAGATACAGAACAAGAAAGGGTGGAATTAAAATAAAGTTCATAGATAAAAGATAATTTACTCATATCACCGCTATTTTGTTTCAAGGGGAATTCTTTCTTTGGGTGTAGACATAGCAGTAGGAGTCATTTATGGCACATGTACACTGCATCTAACATCTTCCATACACTCTCTCCAGTTCTTACCCAGTATCCCTGCAATGCAACTTTTAAGGCCACCATTTTATAGATGAAACTATGATGTAGAGAGTGTCAAGGTCAAACATGTTAATAGCAGAGATTAGAATTAAAGCTGCTTCTCGCTGGCCCCACAACTTGTAATGAATTTTGCATGATATAACATAATATGGTAGTTAAGGGCATGAGCTATAAAATCAGACTTCCCCATCACTTAAATACTTTATAACTGTTGGGAAATTACTTAAACTCTTCCTCCTCTATGGAGTCGAAGGATAATAAAAAGATGTTTTATGAAGTGCTTGCAAAGGCCTCATTTAGAGTAAACATTCAATAAATGTTAACTGCTATCACAAATACCTGAGATATTCAGATGCTCTTTAATGAGTATTCATTCATTCTAGCATATCCAGCTACTGATTAGACATCCCTTCCTGGAGATTCACAGGTCCACACACTCAGCAAATAAACTCACCAGCTCTCCTCCCTCTTTCAGCTTTTCTCCCTTTGTCCTCTAGGGCAATGTTACTCATCTCATTGAACGGTATCATCAGCTACTGAATAGGTTATGACAGAAAAGAGGTAGTCATCCGCCTTTCCTTCATCCCCCATCTCAAAGCTTTGTCCACTCTTAATGTTTAATGTCATTCAAAGCTACTCTTTTTGCTCCAGCTCCCTTAGTTTAGTTGGGATCTTTATTTTGTCTCTTGACTGTCTTGTTCTACTTTAAGATGCTTCTAGAGTTGTCTTCCTAAAATACAACCCTGATCACATCACTATCCTCCTTTTTATCCTTCAGAAGCCCTTTCTGGCCTTCAAGAGAAAGGTTCCAGTGTGTCATCAAGCATACAGAGCTTAATGCTTATTTATTTCTTCAGTCTTTTTTCTGGTTTCTGTCAGTTTCAGAATCTCCCAGGTTCTCTGAGGTCTCTACGCATTTGCAAGACCTCTTCCCAGATGGGTCTCTTTCCCACAGGGTTAACCTGTAATTCTTGAAGACTCAGTTTAGGTTTCCATCCCTCTGAGCAGCCCTCTCAGACTACCTCCTTTCACCCAATCAGCCCCACTGGGCAGGTCCCTTTGCAGTGTGCTGCCATAACCCTTTGGCATTTACCTCTAACCCAGCACTTACCCAAAGGACTGAAACCCTATCTGTTTACTTGCTTATCTCACCACTAGATTATAAACTACTTAAGAGTAATGGTGGGTCTCGTTCATCTTGTAGTCTTACTTCTTAGCACGATTCTTGCCAGTGTTCAGTAAATGTTTTCTCCAAAAGCTTTTATATACTTTTAGTGAGGTATGTTAATGAGTAGCCTGACAAATTTTAGAAAGCCAAAATGTTATTCTCAGTGTAGATTACTGACTCATGAATTTATACTTGACTCACTTAAAAAATTGCATATAATTACTAACATGAGTTTAACTACATGTGAGCAAAACAAAGTTTAGTCTTTCATTTTTCCTCTAGTATATCTGGCTCCTATTTGGCAGCCTGGCTTAGAAGATATAGAGAATTTTAAGAGATAAGCAACTAAAAATAATATTTAACATTCATAAATTTATCTGTAATTCTATTTTAGAGCTTTATAATTCTTTGGAATTGGCATAAGTTACAGCCAATTATAGCTTATTACAGTTTTTAATGAAATATTCTTGTTAATAGAAATGGATATGAATCTAGGTTATACCTAGCAATAGCTTCCTTCATACTGTGAAATATATGTATTTTTTGTATTCAACCAGAAGATGAACAATATTTATTATTTGTATAGCTTCTATAATATAATATTCTTATTAATTGAAGTATTTTACAGTCCCATTTTGGAGGTCTCGAATATTACTACAGATTTTTTCTCATTGAAAACATTCGTATCAACATGAGATGGAGTCTGGCCTAAATTAATGATCAATCCATCAGGTTTGAAAAGAAATATGTCTTATTAATGTTGCATATTATATGTTATAAAATAAGACATTAGTGAACATTAAGTAAAACTAAGTAAAATGAATAAATTACAGTAGGATTGCTTCCCTAAATGTTACACATTAAGGGCCTGAACGTTCGTATATATTTCCACATTGTTACAAAATCAATTCACTTATATCATTGGTGGCATGATTTTATTAGTGACGTCTAAATTAATTCACATTCATTGGATCATGTTACATGTTGTATGTTTCATTAATACTTCTGGAAATTCATTTCTATGTATATTTGCAGACATGAATACATTTAATATTTCAAAGCTATTCTGTTCATATTTATGAAACATATTCATAGACATGTTTCAGTGAAACTTTTGGAAATTCATTCCTACATACATTTGTAGACATGACTTGTATTTATTTGCATGCACCAAACATGCTAATATAATGTCTGTTTAAATTCTTGAGCTAATTTAGTAAATATGATATGACATTATCAAAATCCTAAAATCCTATTCTTCTATATTGCTTTATTCTTGGGTACTCTAAACCAATTTGAGCAGCACACATACTTGTATTAAATATCTTAAATATATTTTATTTAGATCCAAACAATGTTGGATTATCCTTTTTGAGGATCCGATTCTGTTTAGAAGAACTTGACCTTTAAACTAGTTAAAAAGAATCTTGCTTACAGCATGTA